CCCCCTCCCTGCGTTGCCCCGGGGGGGACCCACAGCCTGCCCGCCCGCCCGCAGGGACACGCTTGTCCTTGAGCCCTCGGACACTTTCTCCATGCGTCACGCCTGTGAGCCAGGAGAGCTCTGCGCACCCGCTGCGATGCTCCGGGGAGCGGAAGGGATGCAGCAGGATGGGGTCCCTCTGAGTGTCGCTCCCTGGCTCCCGCCACCCAGCCTGGGGTGCCCCGAGCAGGTTCCCTGCCCCGTCTCCCCATCCACCCACCCTGCTAGAGGGCAAGAAATGAAGAGCCAGGAGCTGGGCACCCCGGCCCCGCTGCCGCGCACGCCGCCTGTTTGCAGGTCAGTTGAACAAACATTTGCTGTTTATACGCCAGAGGCAGATTAAATCTTTGCTGGGAGACTGGAACTGGTTGTTCCGTTCCTGCACACCTGATCCTTCTCCACCAACGCTTCGGTGAAAGCCGTTCCCCTCTCGTGCCCGGCGGTGCCAGGGACGGGACAAGCGGCTTGGCCGCTTCCGTCTCCCTAATGCCACGGAGAGGACCAGTGAGGGAGGAGAAGAGGGAAAAGCAGAGAAAAAGAAGAGGAGAGGGTGAGAAAGTGCCCTGCGTGTGAGCCGAGAAGGCTCCGGCGAAGCGGAGGCATCCCCAGAGCCGGATCGGGCCCCGCGGAGCCGGGAGCCAGGCGTTGCGGCTCCTGGTTGCTGAGCAGTTCCCGCACCAGCAGATCTTCGTGGTCTGCTGACTCTGCCACAACACATTATTTCCAGTGGGCTGTCAGCTGCGGCGGTGGGGGCCGTGCCTGCGGGCAGCGCGCGGCGGGGACCGAGCACCTGTGCCTGGGAATTGCAGCATCCCTGCTCTCCTCCCCGGGACCGCCGAGGGGATGGGGGGGAGCGCGGTCAGATGGAGGGAGCGGAGCGGCAAGGGGAGAAGAAAGAGAGGGAGAGACAAAGGGAAAGGGAGAAGGGAGAGAAGCCCAGGAAAGAGATCTGCGGTCCCCGGTGCTTCAGTACGTAAAAAAATCCCAGCCCCAGCCTTGGCTCCGGACACTGGGATGCAGGGAAGCGTGGACAACTGTTGGGGCATCAGCATGGCATCAAATGCCCATCCTGCTCGTGTCTCTAGTAACAGTCACAAGCAGATTCCTGGGATGCAGGGCAAGCACCTACGGTCGTGCTCCGATTTTCCAAAGCCCCTCAGCTGTCACAGCGCATCCCGACAGGAGACCAGGTGCCGCATGCAGCACACGGCACTGGTCCTCCCCACCACGAGCCTGCACGGGCTTCTCTGGAAGGTGTGGAAGTGTTCAGTCCCCAAAGCATCCTGCAGCGGGATGTTCCCGGCACATCGCACAGAGCTTCGTCCTTCAGCTTCCCAAGCTTGTTGGTCTCCACAAGTTTTGTTTGGTGGCCTCCAACTCTTTGGCTGGAGGAAGCAGCAGCCACAGTCCCTGTCCACCATCCAGCCGTGTGGTTCACCACCACACCCCTGCTTCCCCACCACACCCCTGCTTCCCCATCTCCTTTCCAGGCTGAAGCTGGACATGGGGCCAAACCCTTCCAGAGCTCTTCCCCTTTCCTGAGCCTCCTCCCGGTCTGCGGCAGGAGCTTGGTCTGGTGGGTTTCCTGTACCAACACAAGGCAGCACTGCAGCCCTCTCCGCCCGTAGGTAGGCATACCCATGGCCACCACTCAGGGGACAGAGAGACAAAAAGACTCTGCTGAAGTGCAGCAGTCTGGTTTCAAGACAGGTCTTCTGCAGCGTGTGTCCATCCAACAAGCTCTGTCATAGAATCACAGAATCATGGAATGGTTTGGGTTGGAAGAGACCTTCAAGACCATCTCATTCCAACCCCCCTGCCATGGACAGGGACACCTTCCACTACACCAGGTTGCTCAAAACCTCATCCAACCTGATACTGAACACTTCCAGGGATGGGGCAGCCACAGATCCTCTGGGCAACCTGGTCCAGTGCCTCACCACCCTCAGAGGGAAGAATTTCTTCCTAGATCTGATCAAAATCTCCCCTCTTCCAGTTCAAAGCCATCACCCCGTGTCCTGTCACTACACACTCATGTCCAAAGCCCCTCTCCATCTTTCTTGTAGCCCCTTTAGGCACTGGAAGGCTGCTGGAAGGTCTCCCTGGAGCCTTCTCTTCTCCAGGCTGAACAACCCCAACTCTCTCAGCCTGTCTCTGTAGCAGAGGTGCTCCAGCCTGTCACTGTGAGCTTTTCCTAATCTGCTTTTGCAGACCCCAAAGAGCTTTTTTGGCTGGCACGAAGACCTCATCTCTCAAACTGATGTCCTCCCTTCTTTGCTACTGTCCTCTGAGTCCTCCAACGCTGCGTGTAGGCTGCCAGGGAGCCGCAACGCTCCCATGGAAACTGGCTGCTCTCAACCTTTCCCAGATGGCCGTAGGACATGCCATGGAGGAAGGGGCTCAAGAAAAGCACTGAATTTCTTCTCCACTCAGTGATACTGAGATGAACCTCCTGCCTCATCCTGAAGCTACAGGCTTCTGTGGTCTCTCACGAGCTGGTCCTACCCTGCACAGGTGGGAATTCATTTGCAGTCCCCTGCATGCCCAGCACCAACTGCAGGGAGGACTCTTCCTTGTGCCTGTGTCCACCCAGCTGCTCCCTTCTGGGCTGTCCAGGTGGCACCACACCAGCCAGGGCGGTGCTGGCGTTGCTGTTTGTCGGCAGCAGTTGCCATCCGGGGAGCTCGCTGCCCCGGTGACCGTGCTGGCCAGGACAGTGCCGTGGGGAGCAGAAGGAGAGTGACTTTTCTACGGGATCTCACGCGA